TGCTCCCCACACAACACCATGTGTCAGCCACAGCACTCACCAAGCTTGAGGTCTCTGTGCAGGATGCCCTTGAGGTGAAGGTATTTCAAGCCTGAGATGATTTGTTTGAGGTAATAGCGCACTTCGGGCTCCAGCAGAGTATGGCGGGCCTTCCAGATGTGGGCCAGGGACTGCCAAGGGAGAGAAGACAGCTTGTGGTGCAGGCAGGGAGAACAGGCAGCCCTGCTGACTAGGCACAGGGTAGGCAGGGTCAAAGCCAGTTCTTCCAGAAGTTGCACATTCACAAATAATCCTTCTTTCACAGCCATGACCTCAGCAGACTCCCCACAAGGCTGAGCCTGCTCATCAGAGCCATGGGAACCTCTGGCCACACCACGAGCAGGCAGTCCGAGAATGACGGACAGCCGCTGGAGTGCCCAGTGCTGTGCTAAACCACTCTGCTTACGGCGAGCTCAGAGGGTGTGACAGCTCAGGAGGGGACTGCTAACAAAACACCTCAGTAAGGCCTGCTCCAACCAGCCATGGCTGTTTAGGAGATCCTCTGGCAAGGAGGCCACAGCAGCACTGACCTTCCTACTGCAGTGCTCCAGGAAAATGTAGATGCTCTCCGAGTCCTCAAAGTAGTGGGAGAACTTGACAATGTGCTTATGGTGCAAGTCCCGATGTAGCTCGATCTCGTTGGTGATCTGAAGGAGAGCAGCGGTGTCAGGCGAGCACAGGTGAGCTGCACCCAGCACCCCCCGCCACATGGCACCCACCTTCTCCCGCTGGTGAGGTTTAGCCACCCTGCTGTGAGGAATGACCTTCACGGCATAGGTTTTGTTGCTGGAGAGGTCTGTCATTTCATAGCATCGTGCAAACCCGCCCTGCAAGGGAAGAGGTGGTTATGGATGGGTGAGAGACAGCTCCTTACCCCTGCCTGCTCACAAGCCTCCTCCTCCTCCTCCCTTCCCTGGCAGCAGAGCCCGGCAAGCGTCACACGCTCCCTCCTGCTGCGTCGCCCACTAAGATCTGAACTATGATGCTCTCAAGCATTTTCTTCACCCATTTCTCCAGGGCGTTTTCCCTCCCACTATGGCCGGACTTTGCATCTTTCCACATGACAGATCAACCTGGAAAGTCCTGCGCAGGGCAGGAAGCCCGGGGACCGGAGGCCATCGAAAGGCAGCCCCATGGAGACAGGTTTTTCCTGCCGTGATGTCACCCTCCAATCTGCACACTCAGCCGCCGAGCCCACTCGGGCCGGGCTGGGAACCGGCATCCGCCTCCTACACACGCTGCTGTCAGCCGGAGGAAAAGTTGCGTGCGGCGGAGCGGCGCGGGCCGGCACCCCTGGGAACCGGGGCACCCACCGGCCCACGCACCCCCGCGGGGCGCCCCGAAACCGATGCGGCTCCGATAGCCGCCGAGGCACGCCGCCAGCCCGGGTGATTCACGGCTTCCAGCACTGCTGCGGGCCCGCCGGGCGAGGCGGGGAGGGTGGGGGCGGCGGGCGGCAGCCGACCGCCGGCGCGCGCCGCCGCTGCCGCCCCGGGAATCCCGCCGCCTTTATCAAGGGCCGCGATGACGTCACCCGCGCGGCTCCGCCCCCGGGCGGCCCCGCGCCGCCCTTAAAGGGGCCGCGGCACGGGGGAGGGGGCGGGGTTGGGGATTTCGGGAATGCGCTGGCGTCCCTCCGCCAGCTGTGACACCGCGGGTGAAGCACCAGCCGCGGCTCGCTGCCTGCACTGCACAGGGGCCCACCGCTGCACACACAGCGATGTGCCCCCCGTGGCTGCATCCCCCTCCTACAGACAGGGACAGGGACAACCTCCTCTTGAGTCAGGGTTCCCCTGTGGTCACACTGAGACCCCCCAAACACGCAGGGCTCCCTGCCCTGTCTCCCAGGACATACATAGCCCCCTGCCATGCACGTCTGTAGGTACACACACGCACAAAACACCTATTCACAGGGTGTTTCCCCTCACAGGTGTTACCAGCGTGTGTCACACACCAGCTGGGGTCCTCACGCCCCCTTCCCATATGGAAAGGTTGTGGCTCAGGGAGGGTTTTCAAAGCCCCTGTGGGCCCTGACGTGCCCTCCCTCCTTATGACAAACTTGGATGCAGGGAGACACTCCCCGAGGGCTTTCGCTCTGTGCCAGGGCCCAGCGAAGGGCTCACAGACGGGGCACGGGGCTCACAGGAGCAGCAGAAGATGCAGGGATGATGGCATCCGCCATCCTGGCCCCTCGGTGCCGTTCCCAGCCCTTCAGCCGGGCTGTGCAGGGTGTGCAGTGCCGGCCGGGCCAGGCCCCATGGCGCTGCTGCTGCCTGAGGCCATGGCCAGCACTCACCTCTTGTCACCGGCCATGGAAGGACGCTTGGCATCTCTCCCTCCCCACGAGCTGGCAGAGGGGCCTGCAAAGCCACAAGCCCCACAGCTGAGTCTGAAGCAGCAGTGGTGTAAGAGCCCCTCAATCTTCCCGCTGTGCTTCCCTTGCTCACACCAACGCAGGGTGACTCTGTGAGCATCCCGTGCTCCGTGCCTCAGTTTCCCCCCACTGCTGCTCAGGGCTCTTGCCACTGATGCTCACTGTGCTCCTGAATGTGCTCAGAGTTTTGTGTGAGCACCTCTAGCAAAAGCCCTGTTCTTCCCAGCACATCCCCTTTCACTCTAGGGAACTGGGGACGAATTAACTCCACTTTTTTTTCGGCAGAAAAACACAAAACCTGCCTGATGAGAAAGAGGAAACAACACGAATCTGACTGGATTTTTTAATGCGTTTCCAGCTTTTGCAGGGGAAGCACACACAAACGCAGTGCCCATCAGCAAACACGGCCCAGGAGGAGGCTGGGATGCTCTGCCCGAGGGAAGCTGCTGTTTCCATCAGGCCCCCGGGCCGATGCCATCACAGGTTTTCCGACGGAGGCCCCAGCCCCGGGCTGCCGGAGCTGAGTCAGCGTCGGGAGGCAAAGTGTGGGCGGAGGCACCCTGGAGCAGGCTGGGATGCTCTGCCCGAGGAAAGCTGCTGTTTCCATCAGGCCCCGGGGCTCCCCGGGCCGATGCCATCACAGGTTTTCCGACGGAGGCCCCAGCCCCGGGCTGCCGGAGCTGAGTCAGCGTCGGGAGGCAAAGTGTGGGCGGAGGCACCCTGGAGCACCCGGGGGACCTGTGGGGGATGATGTGACAGACAGGGGCTGTCCCGGGACAGGGGGACAGCGGGAGAGCTGCCAGCTGTGCTCCTGCTGCCCACTGCCTCTGGGCGAGTTCCTGGGCAAGGGGCACGGGTGGACCCCACAGCCCACGTCCTGCCAGGCTGAGGGACCTCCTCTCCAAGAGGGATGGAGCCTGGCAGCAGCTGGGGTCCCCTGTGGGGTCCCGTCTCAGTCACGGGTTTTCCCATCACCGATCTGGGGCGGTGGGAGGAACTGTGGTTTAAGAGCACCAGCCTGTTGGGCCTGGGGAAGGAGAGGCTCTGGGGTGAACTCCTGACTGCCTGCAGCTAGTTAGGCGGAGTTATAGGAAAAGGGAGTCAGGCTCTTTGGGGATGTGTACAGTAAAATCATGAAAGGCACGCAATGCAAGCTGCATCAAGGGAAATTCCGTCTAGATATTAGGAAACTTTTTTCCCCTTGTGCATGTGGTAAAATATCACAGGAGCCAAGAGAGGCTGTGGGATCTCTGTTCTCCATGATACTCAGCCCTGGCCTGGTCCCCCCACCCTCGTGGCATTCAGAGATGCTCAGCAACATCAGGGGCAGGGGAGCTGAACCCAGCTGCCAGCTCACGTCTGCACCAGGGCTGCCTTCCCAGGGCAGCTGCAGGTCCTGCTGTGTGCCCTGCATGCAGTGCCTGGGCTGCAAGAGCAACACCAGCCAAGCATCGGGGTGCAGACAAGCTGCCCAAGATTGGGGTGACAGCCCTGACCCCCCTCAGGAGCGGGGCATTCCCACCCCTCAGCACAGCTCTGCAGAGCACGGGGCTGCAGCCACCAAGGAGGAGGACAGAGAGGCTGGTTGGTCCCCTGGGCGAGCTGGGAAAGGAAGAACCAGCAGCAGCAGCGGCCAGGGCACCCCAGGAACTGGGGCACAAGGCACCACAGTACTGCACAGCCCAGGTCCCAGCTTACCCATCTCCACCGGTTCCCAAGCAAAGAGCTGTTGGTACACGCCACGTGCCTCAGTTTACCCAATTCAGCCCGTAGCGAGCACACATAAACCTTCAGGGTGTGAAAACAGAGCTCCCCTCTCCAGCACTGCTTTTCTGAGGGATGTAGTGCTCATGTCTGCCTCTGCTCCTCCTTACCGGCCTGGGTCTTGTGTGAGATGGAGGGAATTATAAGGGTTCCAGTGATGGAGCACGATGCTGGCCCTTTTCGACCCCATCCGGCAAGAATGTGCACTCTGCATCCTTTTCCCAGTGGAGCTGGCAGTTGCACCCAGCCGGGCAGAGCCCTCTCCCCATGCCAGGAGAGAGACAAACTCAGCAGAGCCCAGCCCAGCCCTTCTCCAGGAGCTTGGGATGGAGTATGGACAGGACTGGAGGGACACGGGGCTTCTGGCAGGGCAGAGGGGGTGGAGAGGGAGAGGCTGGGAAGGGACATTCGTTCTGGGGAATGGAGAGGGGAAGAATGAAGAAGGAATGGGCACTATGGCTTATGGAGGAGGGGCAGAACACGGGGGGACCCCGGGTTGATTGAGTGAGGGGGAGCTGGGTCGAGCTGGGGGTACCGCTGCACAGGGCGGCTGGAGGGTCCGTGGCGGGCGGGACCCCTGCGAGGGGACGGGGCACGGGGGCCGAAGGGTGAGCATGGGCCGGGCCGGACGGCGGCGGGGCCGGGCCGGGATGTGGCGGGGCCGCCCCGCGGCGAGGCGGAGCCCGCGGCC